AAACAAGAAGGATCACTATGAATCCAATCTGTGTAGCAAGATCTTGTACTAAATATATTAAACAACAATAACAACAACAACAATAATAATAATAAAATCCAACATTGAAGGACAGAGAAATATTTTCTCTGTAGTAGGCTAATGGCCACTCAGAATATCAAATTCTAGTTCCCAGAATTTATAAAGTAAAGGAATCTGCATATGTGATGAAGTCAAGTATTTTGACATGTTATCCTGAAGTAGTCAGGTGGGCCCAAAATGCTATTACACATAATGCTCATAAGAGAGAATCATAGAGAGATTTGAGATTCCAAAAGATAACAATGAGAGCATGAAAACAGAGACTGGCCATGTGTCCTTAAGACAAGCAACCAGTGGGTGCTGAAGCCACCAGAAAATAGAAGAGACAAATAATAAGGGCTTTATTTTGAATCGTGAGGATTATGATAATTTGTTATAGCAGCCTTGGGAAGTGAATCCGTTCATCTATTAGAGGGGTGCAGACCTTAAATGTTAGCTGAATAATAATCTACCTAAACATCCTTTCAGAAAATGAAAATAAAATGCTGTGTATTGATATTCACAAAATGACTGAAAAAAAAATTTGGGGAGTTGAAGGGGGTTTTAAAAAAAAAAGCAAGCTATGTCACGGAGTAGCACCAAACTCCCTCAAGCAAGGAACAGTACTCAGACGAGAGCAGAGGCTGGAAATGGACTTCCACAGCTTCCACAACTGCATGTGGCCCCATGTACTTTTGACTTTCAATATGAAGATTAAGAATCTGGTAGCTTCTTGTGTTCTTTATCCATTACTGCATGAAAGTGGCCATAAAAGATACTATAAAACACATGTACTAATAAACTAAAATAAAAATAAAAGCTGACAATATAAAAGAGAAATAGAAGATGCACATTATACAAAATTAGTATTTTCAAAGCAAAGAAATGTGTAATAATAAAAATTTCAAAGATAGAAAGCTGCCTAATTCTACAATAGAAAGAAGACCTAATGCTACAAGTAGAAAAAAAATTTCATATTTTAGGAATAATAGCATCATGTTTCATGAAAAGTACTACAGCTAGTAGTCAATATGTCAGTTTTTCTTTTAAGATTTTTTCATTTTCATAATTAGCTTGAAGTAATCTCCACTTAGGTCAAGATTTCTGTAAAAACTATTATTGGGAAATTCTACTTTTTACTAAATCAATAGATGGCTACCTAAGGTTCTTTACTATTCTGAGATTTTATCATTCTTACTCTGAATTGCTCTTCTCATAGTACTTAAATTCAGTTGATGGTACCCACGGAGACCTGTGTAAAATATATTCATAAACTGTGCTACAACCAAGTAGTTGGTAATAATTGTGACCTTGATATAAAACAAACTTCAGAGAATAATAATATGCTTACACTTTGTGACAAATATTTGGCAGGCAGATAAACTGGTATATCATTATGTTTCTCTAGATCTGCCAGAAAAGTGTTATTAAACACCTGGAGTACTGGACTAACTAAGTTTTAAAAATATTCATGTGTTGTGAAATTTGATAAACTGTTTGAAAAATTGGCAGTAAAATTCTTAGTCACATATTCTCATATTGTGTTTGGGATATTGAAAAAGTTATACTGATTAGCTATACATATGTCTACAATCTTTTTGAAGGATGGCAAGAAAATATTAAATACTCATATTTACTAAAGAAAAATCATTACATGTTCATTGTCCTTGAGATTAAATGAAAATCAATAAAAATTAATCTTAGGCAAATATTAATTCTGCATTAAATTTTCAAGAATGTGTATAATGGCAACTTAAAGCTAATTAAATATATCTTTTTCACTTGACACTTTTTGCAGTCTGAGTTGGATGCTGGTGCTAACAAATCTATTTCTGAAAGCATACTTTGCCAAAGATTAGAAAATATAAACATGCCCCAAGGATGCAGTCACCACCCTTCTATCAAACTGCACAGGAAAGTAGGACTGTGCTCTTCTCTTTTTCTGTATCAGGCTTTCAGAAAACCTTGTTATTCTAAATGTTGAATCGTTAATTAAACTTACGTCCTGACTCATAACTTCTGCAGAAAAAAACAGACACTGCATATGCTTTACAGACGGGATAATTCCAGAGACCATTGTTTTAGCCACTTTCACAACACTGGGACAAAATACCTAACACTACCAATTTAAAGAAGTTGTTCTTTTGGCTCACACCTTCAGAGGACTCAGTTTATGGCTGGCTGGCTCCAAGCCATAAACAGCATGGAGAAAGGACCCAGCAGAGCAAAGCATTCAACCCATGGGAACCAGGAATCAGAAACAGAGAAAGCAGACAGCAACAAGAATGTGCCCTTCCAGGTTCCATCTCCAACTAGGACCCAACTCCTAAGACCATATTCAGCTATAAACTCATCAACAGGTTAATCCATTGATGAATAGAATATTCCCATAATCCAGTCACCTTCAAAGTACCTCCTCTGAACACATGAGACTTTTAGGGGACACTTTTTGATTTAAACCATAATATCCACTTATGCTTTTCATAGTTGATAGGAGTGGTGCATAGTTTTCTGAGAGGTAGATGAAGATGATAAGGCCATGACTAAGCATCATTGTTTTTCTTTATATCTTATCTGTCAATGCTATCTTACTGTCTAAGATTGCTTAAAGTGTCTCTAGAAGTTGTATTAGTGTAGAATTGATAGGTGGCTGAATAGAGCTGGTCTAATACTGTGCATAAAAAATAATTAATTTTTAGAAAAGTTCTTCCTAACATGTCAGCTAACCTCTTGATCCAGTTAAGCCAGACTTTTTATACTATTTTCCTTATATATAAGAAAAAAAGCATGTACTGAGCCAGGCATGGTGGCACACACTTGTACTCACAGCACTTGGGAAGCTGAGGCAGGATGATCGCCATGAGTTCAAGGCAAGCCTATGGTACATAGTGAGTTCAAGGCTACTCTGAACTACATAACAAGACCCTGTCTCAAAAAAACAAAGTAAAACAAAACAAACAAACAAAACATCTACTAGTAACAGTCTTCCTTCCGATTCTACATTTATAATGCGCAGAAATCAACCCCTCTATTTCTCAGCAAAATTCCTCTTCCATTGTAACAGACAAATTGGCTTACTATAAATCCTGAAAAATTAATTTCAACGTTATCTCATTGTGAAGATTTTTTTTTCATTCATCCTAATGTAAATTCCCTTCCCTGTTTGAACAGTGGCCAGACCTTCAGTGGGTGGAATAATTCTATCTCAACTTCTTAACTTCAAACTTTATAATATTTTGTCTCTGTAGCATATCCTCCAAAACAGGTACTTTTATCTACTTATAGGGGGCCAAAATCTCCGTTAGTTCTAGAATTACATTATGGAACCAGGTGTTACGGTAGATAGTTAATTCTTTCTCAAAATGTATTACAATAAAGGTCAGCCAAATAGCTCAATGGATTAAAGCACCTGCTTAGGCAGACACAGGGGCCGGGTGTTCAATCCCTGGGCCTGCCCTGCCGGCCCCAACCCCGGGGTGTGCTGAGACAGCAATTGAGACTGGGCGTGGTGGCACACGCCTGTAATCCCAGCTCTTGGGAGGCTGTAAACAGGTGGAACACTATGAGTTCGATTTAGTAGTGAGACCCTGAACACCCTGTAGACCCTTTCCTAAAGTACAAAAAAAAAGTATTACAATAAGAAATGCATTGCTATTAATCCCCTCAGCATTCTCCTTCTTACTTTGAACATACTTATCCATATTTTCATCCCTTTTTGAAGTAGTTCAGTATCTTTCATTGTGGGATCTGTCTTGGTTGCCAGGATGTCCTGAATCAGTTCAAAATGTGCATCTTTCATGGTCATTTTGACTTTGGGGAAGAGTGAGAAGTCTCAGACTCGGTGAAGAGGTGAATGAAGACAAACCATGATCTCTCTTCATGTGCCTGCCTGTCCGTGGGACAGCACTTAGCAACATTGCTTCTGAAAATGCCAAGAGTGATGCACTCAGCGAGTTTGAGGTGGGGAGGGAGCAGAATGTATAGGGAGAAAATATTCACTGTATATTTCTATGGGACCTCACATTTTTTTTCTTCAAGTACAGAAAACTACTTTCATGTCTAGTAAGCTGACTTAGGCAAAAGTATCTTTACTTTTATAATTCACGCATATTTAGATACTAAATGTTATGATTATTTTACAATTATTATATATTAGGGAAGTCCTTAGTTTTAATAATATTATTTCATATTATTTCTTATAGGACAAAATGCTAGACATTGACAGCAATTGCTTGAAAAAAGAACTGAACTATTTTAAGAAACATTCATGTGCTGATAAAAAGGTAATAATGATAATGACTTAGAAAGTTCTCATAAAAAGTTCTATTTTTTGTGCCTCTGTTAGACTATACTGACTATATCAATAGCATTCCTTTGTTCTAAAGCATACAATTCTTACTGATCTGCTAAATTATATTTTTGTCTTCTTTTATACTACCCATTTTATAGTTTTATCCTTAATAGATAACTTTATTTTTCTGTTATATTACTTTGAAAATACCAGCACTGCTTCATTCAAAACCACATGTCTTTTTCTGCAATTTGCTATGCTGGAAAGACTATGAATGATTGCTTACACATAAATAAATGATAGGCAAAATTTAGTTGTAGACATATTGCAAAGCATTTTCAGTATTTCCTTAACTTTAAACCAGTATCATTTCTAGTTGGCATAATATTACAGTGTATAAAATCTCCAAAATATGCTTTATCTCTAGAGAAACTGCTTTGTTATTTGATAGTGTTTTTCAAACTCAGAAAAGCAAAATTAATTTCATGGCTTCTCATAATTATACATTATTTTTAATTATTGCTTTAAATATATAAAAACTTGTATTTTAGGTGATCTGGCCCTTATTTTTTAATACCAACTATTCATCCCTGGCTCTTAAAGATCATAAGTAATACATGTAAGAAAAAGCACACTTACCTTTCATCCTCCCGCTTCCAGAGCTTTTCCTTTAGATATGCTGTTTTATACTGAACGGACTTTATAATGTTTTCATCCATGAAAGATAAAGTCACACAAACTGAATAGTAAAAAGAGAATCTAAGAGTCAGATAATCAATAAACCGACATCTAGACACGTGGAGCTGTTCCCTAGGAGCTAAACAGTTTCAGCCCTGTTATCATCAGTCACGTGATTAACAGGAATAGGGTGCCCTTAAGGTGGTGAGGCATTACTCAGCAATGCAATTCTGGCTTTAGAAACCTTAGGAAAACTGTACATTCCTAATATTTTATTTCAACCACTGATCTGACTTTTTCCTGTGATAGGAAGCTGCTTTTCTGAATCGTGCTGCTTACAAGTTGGAGCAATTTGTTAAAATGAATATCACTGAGGATTTTGAGCTACACATATTAAAAGTTTCAAAGGGCACATTAAAAGTGATAAACTGCACCAAGGTAAGCTGGGACTGTTTAACAAAACACAAACTAGTGCTGTACTGAGATACTATCATTCTCTGATGCTTATATCCATTAATATAGAATTCTAAGTTTTGTGATCACTTAAAAGTTGAGACCTATTTACTGTAGAAGAAGAACATCTTGATTTGCAAAGTATGTATTCTTCCCCTTGACTAAGGAAGACAAATTTGTGAAAGAGGAATGAAAATAAATGAATTCTTCATTGCCATATTTAAAAGAAGCTAGGGTGATAAATTTGGAAAATAGTAAGTTTTTTATGTTTATAGCTTACTATGGTTTATATTATATCCACAGTAAATACATCCTGGTCAATAAAACAGGAAGCTAAATATAATGTATAACTATCTTAATATGTTAAGCCGAGGTATACAGTTCTGTCAATTTTCCTTTAATAATTTTGATACTAATAGGGTAAATGTTTCCTTATTTTCTACTAAAAGTTATGAATCAAAAACAACAAATCAAATTTTGAGGGACATCTTTTTTTGTTAGGCAATTATTTCTGCAAATTGGAGAAAAACACAGAATCTCCATTGGAGGACACTGAAAGGACTTAATGGCATAATTTGTATTATATGCTTAGTAGTGACAAGTTTTTAATATTTAAATAATATTTTTTATTCTTGCTGTTATTTCTGTCTTCAGGGATTTTACCAGCTGACATACAAAGTGTCTCTTGAAGTCCTTTACATCTCAAAAATTGTTTATGGTATTAAAAAATAAATTGTATTTGGCTTCACTTGCATATTGGTAGTTTCCAACAAAATGAAAAATGGACAAGATTATCTGTGAGCCATACTGACTGATGAAACTAGATTTTATTACTTGGAGAGCTTAATGAATTAATTAATTGTGGACCCTCACTACAGGAACAAAGTCAAGTCCTCTATAAAGTGATGCAGTGTATAACCTACACATCCTCCTGTGTACTTCAAGTTAACTCTAGTTTACTTAATAGCATTATATATACTTAATAGCATCTATAAATGCTGTGTGTTTGCTATGATACATGACAAGAAAATGTGCAGACATAGATAGTGCAAGTCCATTTCTTCCCAAATATTTTCAATTTGTTGTTAGTTGAATCTGAGGATGTGGGAACTATAAGTATGAAAGGGCCACTGTGTTTCTCCTGGTCAAACACAACTATTAAGTCAAGTAAAGTTCTACTTGTACAAAAATGTTTTCAAACTCTCACTGCAAAGAAGATGAAAATTTCCTTCTTATTTGTTTATAATCTTTGATATTATTTAAAAGAAATATTTTAGTGTTGCTAAGTATAAAGCTAAGAGAGATCTGAATGTATGGCTAAATTAAAAATAGAACAGATGAACTCAAAGCTTAGCCATTATGTTTATTTGACATGTGTCAATGGTGCTCATTTATACTTTTTGAGGCTCAGTTTTCTCATCTGTAAAATAAAGTGGAATCAAATTCAGAGGATTAAGTTGATATAAGGAAGTAATAATGCACTGAGCACAATACTTGACATACAAAATGCCCAAAAATAGTTAACACCCAAAAGAAGAAGTGCAATATTCAGAGGGTTCAGAAGAACATAGCAGTTTACGCAGAGCTGATCCCTTACATATCTGTGAAGTATGGTATCTCTTTGGTTACTGTGTGTGTACACATGGTATAAGTAAGCCTCTTTCAATATTCTCATCAGATTCTGAGAAGCAGTTTATAAACAGAAATCTGCCATCCTCTGGTGAAGTTTGATTTTGTGGTGGAATTTAGGGTATAAATTCAATAAGGAATTCCTTATTATATTGGTCAAAATAATCAGAATATTTTCAGTGTTAATTTTTCCTTCTTTTTTTTTTTTCAGAACTGGGATTGAACTCAGGCCCTTGCACTTGCCAGGGAAGTGCTTATTTTACTGAGTCATCTCCCTGGGCTTCCACTAAAATATGCTTTTAAATACTAAAATTTGATTAAATAATTGGCAGATATATCAAAATACATTTTGAGATGGGCATCTCACTGTTTGTAAAGGCTATCCTGAAAGCATGTTCCAGCATATCTAGCTTAAAATACCTTTGGTGAAAAATTAAACAGTATTTTGTGGTCCCTGTTGCAGGGTTCACATATTCCTTAAGTCTTAGAGCATGCATACCTTGATTTTCCTACATTTCAGTTATCACTAGTTAGAAATTGTAGGTTTTTTTAAATGTCATGCAATATTTTCCTGTATTATATCAGACTTTCAATGTAACCTTATATGCTTGAAAATATAGAATATTTTTAAAAATATATTATAAAAATGTAAAATTACAACTTTTTAATCTCTTTCTCTAGGAAGAAACTATTTTAAAGGAGCCAAAAAAGAATGACTGGTGTTTCCTAAAGACACTATTACAAAAAATAAAAACTTGTTGGAATAAAATTTTGAGAGGGAATTAAAGGACACTAGAAAATGAGTGGAATATGTGAACTGTGGTTACATCTGCTGATAACCTATCTGCTTATGCAATTTGGAGGGAAAGAAAGCCTCCTAGAAGTTACTGAAAACAACCTAGTAAAAATAATGAGGACAAATGAGAATTGACGTAGTACTAGAAGACTGACATAAACAATGGAATCTGAACACTGCAGCGAACAGACTGTTTCATAGGTATGTGGATACTTGTCAGTCAGTATTAAGTTTATACTGATTTTGTAAGACAATGACATAAAGTATCATGTGCAATAAAGCTTTTAAAACCTGTTTAAATATTTCAGAAGACATCAAATCTATGAAGTATTTAAAGGTATTAAGGATTAAATTAGCATTGTTTTATTATCAGAAGAATTTTATGGTCCATCATGCATCAGTGTACTGCATTAAGCATAAAAAATATTATCAACTACACTGGAGATATTTTAGGATTAACATTGATGGAAAATGCTCATGAAAATAAGAGAAGCATACATACTTTACAGAAGCAGCAACATAAAGAAGCCAAAAATACTTCAGAGAGATATTAAGAAATGTACTTAAATATGAACATATAACACAGTGCCTTTAATAAATGGTATAGCAAACATATTAGATGAAGATGATGGATCATTTCAGAAGATAGAAATTCACAGTCTAGGAATATTAAGCCTTAGTACTAAGTTACTTTTGTCATTTCTGTATAATAAAAGTTGTCTTAATAAATTTTCAACTTGGGAGGTATATTTTTAAGAGAATAATATATGTTAGCTTTTTAATCAATGGACTGTGTATATTTAATTTTGACACTATACTATAACTGTATATAAAAATATTTTCATACAGTATTACCAATGTTTACTTTGAATAGCATTTCTCCTTTGACAATAAATGACCTATGAATTCGCCCTGACAGATTAATGTTATCCCAAGAGAATTTTCAGTAGTGCTCCACTATCTGATCTCCCATGTCCATTGAATATATGACCTTTAAACTTTATTATTGAGACTAAGTATGCAGCCAGGATCCTAAAAACATATGAGTATGAATACTACTTTTTAATTTAAATTCTAATCTTTCAAAAGAAACCTTTCACTGAATCTTTTTAGAACCTGACTAGAAAGGACTGAAAATGGTCTTCATTCAATTATAAAGGGAATTAGAAACACTTTTCTAAGAAGCCAAATTTTAAAATGGCTCCCAACTTGCAGTTCACTGCATTTGCATCCTTCATAACCCTTCTCAGCTTTACTGTCATCTAGTTATGGATTGACTAGCTGTACCTGATTTATAAACTGTTCCAGTGATACCCTCAGTGTTTGAAGCCTACACTTTCCTGCCTCTTTTTACTTCCCCCAAACCATATGGAGTTTATCCCCAGGGGTACAAAAAAGGGGAGCCTTGCAGAGTCCTTTGAGTGGAACTCATTGACCTGGCCAATTAACAGGGCTTTGAGTCATGTATCTTTTCAATCACTCTTTATTCTAGAAAAGGGAGTTGAGTAAATTCATTAGAAGCAAATAGTAGATAATCTTTCTTCAGACGGATCCTTCTACATAGGCTGTTTCCACCATGATAGTCCACTACCCATATAAACTGGGTGCTTTTAGTAAGTCATTAACTACAAGAAACAAGGAAATTTAAATTTCTGAATTCACGGACTTGAAAGCTACATATAAACTTCCCTTACCAGTGCTGGAAAACTCCTAGTTTGTGACAAAATAAGGGGTAATGTTTTTAAAAACTTATTAAAGGAATTATTGGATTTTTCCCTTAGTTTTTGTCACTTGTGAATAATAGATTTGAATTTCAGAGAAAATTCTTATTCAGAATGGCTTATTCAATTAGCTTAAAAGCTATACTATTTGTTAAAGGCTTAGAAATATTATCTCCACAATTATGTTTGTATTTCCTTTATTATTTTCTGGCCTCTGGCAAAATAAGATAGTGGAAGGGAGGCTAATTAATCATTTTGTTATTATATTTTATTATCTCTAATTCCTCAATTTCAGAGATTTGTCATAATGGACATTTTCCTTCAAAATACATTAAATCAGTATATCTAAAGTTTTTCCTGTAAAATTCTTATCAATAAATAAAGCAAACAAACAAAATAGATGGGAAGATTCTGAGTGATGAGTCATAAATTTTCTCTTAGAGGTTCACAATTCATATAGCAAGTGGTCTGCAAGTTCATTCATAAAGCTTTTAGAAAGCTTAACATTGATGCAGTTTATTAGTGACTTTCCCATCACAGGACACATCAACACCCACAACTTAAAGGAAGAGAGGTTCGATTTGGCTCACATTCTACCTGGATTTAGTGCACTGTCTGCTGACTCAAAGGAGAACACATCATAGCGCCAGAATGCAGCGAAGTAGAATTGCCTGGTTCATGGTGGCAAGGAGGCCCAGAAGCCAGGTACCATAGTTAGCACACAAAGTCATGCTTTTATAACTCCTGGTTTGTCCTTTGAAAGGAATAACGTAATGAATATGCTTTTAGCTGGTGAAGTAAAAAAAAAAAAAAAAAAAAAAGAACTAACACCTGGAATGAAGGAGACATCACTGAGAGAACATAATGAAGGTTCCATGGACATTAGAAGGACAGTGAAGAGAGAATGAAACATTCTAAACCCACAAATTTGACAGCTTAGATGAAGTAAAACAACCACTTGAGATATAATTGATATAATTTGAATAAAAAATAATATTACAGAAACAATATATTAATTCACGATGAATTCATTGTTGAGTGCTACCAAACATGAGGAAAACCTTCTACCAACTTTCTACAACATATTTCAGAAGATAAAAACAGAAGAGATACTTTCTAATTATTTCATAAGGTCAGAAGTGTCCTAACATTAAATGCAGAGAAAGATGTTATAAGAAAACTATAGACTAATGTTTGTCATGAACCTACACTCACAAATTACCAAAAAGATATTAGCAAATTGAATGCAATAGTGCATAAAAACATTGTTAGTCATCTTGTTCATTGCTGGACACAGTAACAGCGTATCTAATGGATGTAATCTTGCTAATTTCTGAAATACTCTTTAAGCATTTCAATACATACATCTCAAATATTTTCTTCTCCCATAAACTACTGGTTTATTTTTAATGGTGCTAAGTTTTTTAGCAGTGACAATTCATTTGACCCTAACTTCACAAGTATTTCTTGTGAGCCAAAAATATAAGCTTTACTACTTTTTTCTGCTCTTGTTGCTTTTTTAAAAATAATTTTATTGAGAAACAAATAGCAATGTGACAGTTTCAAAGCTGATTACTAGCACAGTTTCAATAATTAGTACATTTCTGCTCTTGTTCTGATACTCATTATAAATCTGGCTAGATACAGGATCTCAGGATAAATCCTGAGGGGATTTCACTGACCTTCTCAGACCCAAAAGCTACAACTCTTGTTGCATAGGTCCTGCTTTACCTTGGTCTTGAGCATCCAGTAGAAAAGTATGAAGACGAAATATAGGAAGTAAACCATGCTGTTATGTTGAGCTGTGGGGGACTCAGGTCAACAATTTCTGACATTGCCAGTTAAACAGAAGACCCAGTGCTATTATGGGCTACTGGACTCTTTTAGAAAATTTTGCTGAGTTTATACACCTATAATATTCAAATAACGGAACTTAACAAAAAAAAAAGGTATACAGATGAATGTCCATTTTGTATCTGTGTATTCAAAGTGGTTGGGATAGATATATAGTTACATTCTCTTAATGAATAGAATGATTTGTTCTAATGGTGTTTGTAAATAGGATCTCAAGTCCACATCTTGTACAGCAATTAACCACTAAGAAGAATGTATGCAGTGTGTTAATTATTGAAACTGTCCTAATGATTTGATTTGAAACTGTCTCATTGCTATTTGTTTATCAATAAAATTATGAAAAAAAAAAGACCTCAAAAAAAAAAAAATCTGGCTAGAAAGCCAAGAGCATCCATGTCACAGATTGAATGTCTGATTGTCTCAAAACTTCCTCTACCTGATTAATTAGTACATTTCTCCTTATTTCAGTGTCCTGCAAAATCTCAGAGCACGGGCAAAATGCAGCCAAACTTTCTGCCAGAATGCAAGACACATAGCCTCTAGTCCAAATGCAAATAAATCTCTATTCCCAACTGAAACCTCTGAGTCTGCCTTTATTATTTTCATATTAGCATCTGGTCTTCTTTGCTCTGACCAGAAATACCCATCAGGCTCTGCTTATAGGATATGAAGTTTTCTCTACCCCGTATCTACAAATCTAAGTACCTCCTACAGGCCAGTTCCAGATTCTCCTAAACTCCATATTCAGGTAAAGACATAGCAATGACCTTATTTCTTCAGTGATTGTTTTCTGTATCAGAAATTTCTCATTGCTGGACACAGTGCCCGATACTCACACTTTAAAGGAGGTGAGGCTTAAGTGGGCTCACATTCTAAGGGGATTCATCCATGTGCGATCAGCTCCAAGGCGGAAACACTATGGCAGAAGAATGTGGTGGAGCAAAGCTGATGGGAAGCAGAGCTGGGGATAGTGAAGGGGGGAAGGGGGAAAGGGCTGTTGATACAGCTGTACCCAGAGCCATGGCAGCTCGACCCACCAGACACATCCAGAAATGTACTTTAATAAATCCCTTAGGCATTTCTTAACAATATCAAATTGATACATTTATGATTAACTGTCACAGGAGGTGAAATTTGGGTTCATATGAAAGTTCTGTTAGGGTTTTTTTTTTTTTTTTTTCAGAACCAGGGATTAAACTCAGGCCCTTGTGTTTGCCAGGCAAGCACTTATTCTACTGAGCTATCTCCCCAGCCCTTCTCAGTTAAGTCTTAAGATAGCTTTACAAGTACACTAAAGGAAATACTCTTCAGCATTAAGATAATGATCTGATTTTTGGAAAATTGATACATAAAGAACATATGCATCTGGGGTGCTATATAATGTTTTAATATATGTATACACTATTGTCTTAGTTACTTTTTACTTGTTGCTGGGACAAATACCCAACATTCAAAATGAAAGAATTAAAGGTTTATTTAGCTCACAGTTTGTGGAGGTTTCAGTTTATACTCTGCTGGCTCCAAGGCAAAAGACAGCAGTTCATGGCAGCAGCAAACAATGAAGAGCAGAGGAGGAGCAACAGCTGTGGCATTGTCCATCAAGACTCTCTCTACCTTCTACACTGACTGCAAAGACCAGCGCTCCATGGTGAAAGCTCCACATAGCTTCTCCCAAGACTGGGGCTTCTCCAAGGAAGCAGGGAAGGGAGGCCAAGAAGCCTTCCTCA